GAGAGGCTTGTCCCCAGCGAGCCAATCGTGGGAGGGCGTAGCTAGGTTTGGCTGCACGAGATTGTTCAGTGACGAGTCCCGGGTGCTACACACCTTCGGCAGTGTCATGCGGAGGCGACGTGGGACGCGCGACGTCATTGCAGCGTGGGACATGTGCGTACGCCACGAAGTGACGCGATGAGCAATCGCTGGTTAGTAGCTTTTCCGGTCAGTGCTGCTCGTTTCCGGATCTCGTATTTACGTTACTCCTGTCTTTCTAGCTGCGGAGTGTCGACTCTGTAGCGCACTCTACTTTATAGTGTCAGTCTTCCTTGATGCTGTAATGAACACATTACATGTGGGTTGCCTTAAAGCGATTGTGGACAACTTTGGCTCTCCAGCGGTGCTTCAACTACAAATCCCAGCATGACTCTGCCTATGGCATTCATACCTGTAACTGTCAGTCCTGCAAAGCCTCATGGGACTTGTAGTTCCATCTGGAGGGCTGTAGTTGCTCACCTCTGCCTTAAAGAGGCCATGTCACCTCTGTGTGGCTAACCAGGCTTTATTGTTCAATTGTGCTCCCTCCCTGTCCTGGAAATTATGTTTTTAAAGTGGAACTACAGGCAAATATGATATGTCCTTTGCAAGGTTCCCATTGTATATACACATTAATATAATGAGCCTCAGATTATGTAAATAAATGATCTGATGATCCTGCCATCCCCTCCCGAGTATGACCCTGCTTGCTGTGCTGGGCCAACAACAGTGCTATTCATCCGCTAGTAAAATGGCTGACCCCCCTCCCTCAGCGCTGTCGATACCCAAAAACTGTGTTTTAGTGCACATGCATTGTACCCTGCTGAACTCTGACACTCCTCCCAGCAGTGACATAATAGGCCAAGAGTTTCAGACTAACCCGCCTCACAGCTTTTAATACGGAGGATTTGCGGTCATGTGAAAAACAACCTGAAAAACAGACTATAGGGTCTATTCACTAGGCAGCCGAGTGAATGACCGACCTGAAGTGAAGTGAGCCGAACACCGGCTATTCACTTCAGGCTGGTACGTCTGATTTCAGCCGTACATCGGCTAAAATCAGCCGTACATCGGCTTGCTTCACGTGGCTTCGGGTCGGCCGAACATGCTCAGCACGAAGTGCAGAAGGCGTTCGACTCAGCCGATCCAACATCTGTATCGGCTGAGCCGAACCTCCGGCAGGCTTCACACTGCTGTTCGGGCTATTCTGAAAGATCCCGAACAGCAGTGAGTGAATAGACGAATGCCCCTGAGCGGCATTCGGCTCGGCTGTTCTGCTCGGTCCCTCAGACGTGAGCTGCGTGTAGAGAGAAAGAGCCATTTGCTTGCTTGGGTGCATTGAAAATGTTGAGTGGTCATCCTTAAAGTGACATTAAAGGCAACCCCCCCCCCCCCCGTGTAGTTAA